CAACCACGCCCAGTCCTCCCATCCATCACCCGCGCCAGACACTGTCGGCTGGGTCGCGTGGCTGGGGGAGGGAATAATGGATGGGAGGGTTGGGCGTGGTTGGGGGTATTGGTTGGTAGTTGCCCAGATACAGCTCAGAGGGCGCGATTGAGGCCAGCATAGTGGGAGGAATGAAGTTGCTGATTAGGAGTTCAGGACGATAAGCGATGACAATGGCTGGATGTGATGGGTGCTCCGAAGCGGCTCTGGGGGCAGGGAATGGGGACTGGATACAAGAGGGGAAGAAGGGTGCTAGTCAGGAGTTCGGAGCAAGAACTGCAGATAGCAGTAAAAAAGAAAATAAAGCAAAACGGCACTACAAAGAAAAGTAAATTAAAACAAACCTGAATTTGTGAATAAAAGGAGGGAAGCAAAACCAAAGAACTGGAGCCTGTAATCAAAAGGAAAAAAAGCAGAAACAAACAAAAACTGGGCTTATGCCAGCAGGATTTGTCTTACAAAAACCCGTCTTCAGTAAGCGGTCCCCGCATTTATGAGATCTATGCTTAGGTGAAGCTGAGGGCAAATAAGTTCGGTTAGATTTACACAAGAATTGCAGACAATTGCACAGTGTTGCTTTCCACAGCCTGCAACTGTACACAACAGCTGTACCTCTATTTTTTTGCCTTCAAAATCTCACAGAAGTGATGGCTGACTTCATCTCTATGCGTCCAGTCTACCCTGCTCTTGTTCACTTCATGGAACTTACTAGCTCTCAGCTTTACCTGAGCATCAGTTTCATAAACAGGAAAGTTCCCTAGTGATGATGAGTTTTTGTGGAACAGCTTTACCTAAGCATCAGTTTCATAAAAAGGGACGTCCCCTACTGATGACGGGTTTTCATCAGTTTCCGCTAGCAAAACCTCAGTTTCTTTTGCTTTTATTCATAAAATCAGATTTGCTTTAATTTACTTTTATTTGTGTGCGCAGTGCTGTCTTTTTCTCTTTACTGCTATCTCCAGTTCTTGCCTCGAGTTCCAGACTTGCATCCTTA